CTTAGCGGGCCCTCGGTATGAGGAGACCGTTTGGGGCGAAGAAGAAGGGGGGCTTCTTCACCCCCCTTGTTGCCATGGCAGGGGAGTTTGGCTGTATTTTAAGGAGCCGGGGGTTCTGTAGGGCAGGGCAGGGTTCTGATGGGCGTTTTTAAGAACCAGGGACAACACTGGGCGCAGCAGGCCATTCAGGAGGCGGCTGCGCTGCTGCAGGCAGGAGAGGGAGCACAGGTCACCAGGGGATGGAGTCGAGGTGCTGGGGGTGGAAGCCGCCAGGACTTCCTACTGGGTTGGAACTGGCAGAGGAATGAGAGGGACCGAGCAGCCCGGCGAGCAGTGGCGGCATCAGTGACATGAGGAAAGCTGCCAGGGTCACGCCTGGGGGGACTGAGAGCCCCCCTGGCAAATGCTGAGGTGCCCTCGGGGCAGCCAAGGGGAGCATCGATGGCCGTGGGAGACGTGGAGGCTGGTGAGACCCCGAGCACCACAGCTCACCCAGGAGCAGGAGTCCAAACACAGGTCAGCCTGAGGGCAGGGCTGGCCCTTCCCCTGAGGCAGCCCTGTCTTTGGGGACAGCCCGTGGCTGATGGGGAGGGAGCCCCTGTGCCGAGGGTGCAGGGGCCGGCGGAGAAGGGCAGGGACCACTTGGTCAAGGGCAACAAGCTCAGTATCAGCCTTTGATCACCACTAGCCCCTGTGATGTCCCAGTACATGTGAGGGATTCACCAGGGCAAGTCTTTCCCTGGTTGGCTGTCCACCCACAGCAGCGTGGGTGGCAGCACATGTCGGACAAGGCCAGCCCCCCGCACTGTCCACCCCACCCCAGCGCGCCCTGAACCAAGCCCTCAGCACTGGAACCGGATCGGATCGCTGAGCCCTGGGAACAGAAGCCGGGAGGGGGTGAGGGGGCGAGACCCGAGAGGTCCAGGTGGGGCGGGAGGACCGTCGGGGCCGAGGCAGGCGCAGGCGGCCGGCAATGTCCCCTGGCAAAGGTCATGCTTTGCTACGTTAGGCAGAAATGTCACGAGAAAATTGGATTCTGAAAGAACTAAAATAACAGGCATTCCGGGCAAATAAAGAATAAGGAATCGCATTATCGTACAAGTTAGAGAGGGCGGGGCGGGGACACCGCGGCGGGCACTGCTCACCCAGGGCCGCGGCTTCCGGTGCCTCCAGCCCTCGGGCAGACGGAGAAGCCCCCGCAGCATCGACTCCAAGTTGACTGTCCAGCTGCGACCCCTGAAAGCCTCTGCATCAGGAGTCTGTCCCTCCCTCCTTCCCTCAGTCTGCGCCCGGTCACTCTAGCTTCCAGCCCCTGAGCCCCCATCTGCTCTCTGTCCACTCGGTCAGCTTCCCCGGGCACACCAGTCTCCTCCTGTTAACAGAGAGACCAGAACCTGCGGTCTGTTCCGCTTGCCTCAGAGGCGAATGCCACGGTCCCTGACCATTGCAGGGATCTCTCTGCTCTTACAAAAGACCCTTTTCTGAGTGCAGTGTGGGCTCAGAGCGCCAAGCACAGCTGGCCAGGCACCAGCAAGGCTCACAGGCTGCAAGCACATGATATAAACCTCATTTCCTTCACCCATGAAGGCAGCCCTTGGAAAGGTGCCATTCTCCTTCCCTTGAGACCCACCAGCCCCTCAGCTGTCTGTC